CTAAGACATATGAGGCTAAGCAAATACTCTACTCAATTGATTTGGGCTATGAGAAAATATATGCATGTCCTAATGATTGCATTTTGTTTCATAATGAGTATGCTTCATTAGAAAAGTGCCCTAAATGTGAAGCATCACCATATGGAAAGAAATCAAGTCCTGTGAAGGCACTATTGCATTTTCCCATTATACTGAGATTTAGGCGTATGCGTGGAAATACAGAAATTGCCAACTTGTTGACATGGCATGTGAATGAGAGGATTAAAGATGGAAAGCTTAGGCACCTTGCAGGTTCTCCTTAGTGGAAAAAAATTGACTTTGAGTACCCTGGTTTTGAAGATGAAGAAAGGAATCTTCAGCTTGTATTGTCTACAAATGGAATCAACCCACGCAGTGTTCAAAGTGGTACCCACAGCACATGCCTAGTAATATTAATAATTTACAACCTACCCTATAACTCTGCATGAAATGTAAGTTTATGATGTTGTCTTTGTCAATTTCTGAGCCTACCTCTTCGGTCTCTTTTGCTAAAGGTTATTGCTAATGGCCAAACACTTGAAATAAAATTTGAAAAAGAAATCTATTTTAAAGATAGCTAGTAATATCTTGATAGAAATACTATTGTGAAAATACTTGATCTAGAATGGGCGAGCGCTTTTGCTATCAACACTTAGATAAGGTATTTGTTTGATAACATCTTTTCATATTGGTTATTTTATTTCTTGTTGTAATTGATTTTAATACAATTTTTTTGCTATTTATCAAGGTATTTGTACATTTCTTTTTTTTTTTTGAAAGACACAAAAAAAGAGAACAGATTTTCATTTATTAGTCCTCATGATATTAGTCATGGGTTGATGTTGAGTGCGTTTGAACAAGTAAATTTTCTAAAAGAAATATTTACAAAAAAGGCTGAAGTTGAAAAAAAAATATTATTATTAATACCTTACAATATAGGATAAGTATTTTATTAATTAATTTTTTAATTAATTTTTTGTTAGATACCTCAATTTTATTAAGACAACCAAAGTTTAAATTTTTTTAGAAAACAATGAATTTTAATTGTTCTCAATCTTGTGGCTATTCTTTTGCCTTTAATTTATGATCTCGATCCTCTATCTAGAGGCATGCTGACAGATCGTCCTAATATATTGAGGTTATTCAATAAGTATTTATATTTATAAAATCATTTTACATATTCATATATATATATATTTGCATCAAATTGATTAATTTTTTTCTATTTTGGTAGGGTACTAAATAGCTTTCATGGTCACAAAGAGCTCCTTTTTTTAGAAATAAAGATTTCTCAAAGAGTTATCAATGGACAAATATTATAGTATATTTAATTTATACATGAAAGATTTTATTGAATTATGAAAAATAAATTTATTTGCTTCATAAATTTATATTACTTTTTGGTAATTTTTTAGAGCCCTTTCCAACCAAATAATAATGACTATGAGTACTATTATAAAATTCATGAAGGATGTGATCACTCATGGTAAACTTTTATTCTATTTGAGGTATGAAAAGTTATCTAATTTTATTTAATTTTATTGGGTTATAGCAATTTTTAATTTTGTGTGTGTGTGTGTGTGTGTGTGTGATTTCTTGTTTTAATATATTTTGTAGTATTTTGAGGATACAAAATGCTTGAAATATAGTGAAGAGTAAATTTATAATCTAATTGAGGAGTGGTCATCATTTATTTTGAATTTAGGACTGAATTTTAGTATTTGTTGAATACTTTTGTAAGATTTGAGACTTTTAACTGTCTTGACCTAGCTAGTTAGGGAGCTTTATTAATATAGTTGTAAACTACTTTGTCGTACTGCAAATATATGTTTTGTAATTTTTCATTGTATAACTGGATTGTTGTAAATTGCTAGACTGGTTGTATATTGTTGGATCTGTTGTTCTGGTGAAAAATTTTGGTGTATAATATGTTATAAAATTTATTTAAAAAAAACATTAGGTGCCTATCTTAATTTTTACTAAAATCCATAGAGGTGGCGTTTCTTCATGTCTCTCTAAAATAACATAGGTGGCATTTCTTTGTTCCAAAAAGTGCCACCTATGTTATTTAAATTTTAAAAAAAATGAAAAGACAGAGGTGATATTTACATATTGTAGAAACATCACCTCTGTATGATTTTTAATTTTTTAAAAATTATTTCATAAAGGTGGTGTTTGTTCTTATTGAAAATGCCACCTCTGTGCAAAACATAGGTGGCATTTCAATATAGAATAAACACCACCTCTGGGGTTTTTTAAAAAATAAGCTGAGAGAGGTGGCATTTGCAAAGAAATGCTCTCGCTCTGTCATAAGTCTTCTGATATTTTAATAATTAATGAAACATCACCTGATACCTATTATAACTTTAGATCTTATAACATTTTATAAACGTCATGAAATTAAAATTTTAAATGCCACCAAAGCTTATTTCTATAGTAGTGGATGCACATCAATTTGGATTTGGATTTGAGCTAAACCCTTAATCCTTAATTGAAATTCTCCCAAAAACCTTTAAGAATTGTCTAACGTTGAGATTTAATGACAAAATTAGATTTAGTAATGATGTGTAATAAAGAGAAATTCTTACGTAAACTGAGTGTGCAATGTCATTTGTATTCTATCTAGTAAAACATGACATTCAAGTCTTGTATGATTATTGACAGGTCAAGTCATGTAATTTACAATTTATACTGGTAAATTAACAAGTAAAAAAATTAACAACTAATAAATTTTGGACAAAATTAACAATTGAATGGTACTTTGTTCTTTTCACCATTAAAATTATTTTCACTTCAATCTAGCTAGACTAATTTGAAGGTTCAAATTTGTTTGAGACCCATTAACAATTAAGTCACATCCCTCCTCTTTGGTTGAAATTCTCCCAAAACTTTCCCTAAAACAGAGCCTAAGTAGTCAAAAATAAATTTGGGAAATCTCAATCAAGGACCTTAGAAGGTATTTAATTTCATAAAAGGACAAATAAACTCTGAAATTGATCTGCAGGATTTCTTGACTGAATTGAAAGTAAGTTTGAAAGAAAAATGACCTAATTACCCTTAATTTTAAAAGAGAAAAAACTGTTTTTGCATTAGATCTTCTCCTATTTGTTCGGACCTCGACGTCCACGATGAACTTCCCAAGTTGTCTCTCATCATCAATTAAAGCAAATTCTCTTGTCTTCATCAAGTGAATCCCGTACAACTCATCTACTAGGTCAATTAAAGGAACTTCTACATTTCTGGCAGATCACCCGAAAAGTGTATTAAAGTTTTTGAAATCCTCACTCATGTTTTAGATAGTAAGTCTCAGCCAAAAAATTAGGGACGAATATGGGATTAAGTTTATACCAAGCTCTGGTAAAAAAAAAAAAGTTTATATCAAGTTGCCTTCTGTACCAAAAACCTTGCTGATAAAGTATAGCTGTTAGACTCTTTCAAATAGACAAGTTAAACTAACTAAAATGACAATATGAATAAGGGTTTTAACAAACGAAATTCATGTTGTGTCAAGTTCCCTCGTGCATGTTCAGTTTCCTAACGCATGTTAAGGAGTGAAATTTATAAACTTACAAGTTAAGCAAAGCATTTAACAAGTCAATTTCAGGTTGTCACAAGTTTTCCTCATGCATTTTTCAACCTGTCAATTTCAAACCAATTCATGTTGTCCCAAGCCCAATTCAAGTGCATACACAATGATATATACCTGATTAAAGATATAATTACATAAATTTATAACAACGTCCATTTGATTTCAAGTGGAAACATGATTAACAACGATCATGACTAGAGCAACAAGTTCATGAAACCGAATGTTCATATTACAAGTGGAAACAAAATTAACAACTATCATGACTAATAACATTTAATCAATTGACAAGTCATATTAGCATTGTAACAATCATGCATATCTAAATTCCCATATGTAATTTTCCTTTTGATAGTTGACAAGTCTATTGATTAATGACAAGTATTGTTTAAACCAATGATTTCAAAATTGGGCCGAGCTGGACGGTCTAGTCGATTGGACCACTAACCAGTCCTTGTTCCGGCTCAGTTTGAACTACAAAATCATTTTAACTTTTGAACTAGATTGGGCTGCTCTGAGCCAGTGGTTAGACTAAGAATCGTTAAAATACTACAAACCAGAGTGGTTATATGAAAACCGGAGAGCTTAATTTTTTTTCACTTTGTGCCAATTTTAACCCAAAAAAAAAAGTCCATTGTGCACTTTGTTTTTATATCTTTTTGAGGACACATTTTTTGATAAATCATTTTCATTCTTTTTATATGCCTTAATCTGAATAAATACTTATGTCAAAAAGATCTAAATTTGCATAGGGATATATGTTGTGAGTATTGGTATTGAATCATTTAATGTTATGTTGTGTCATGGAGTTTATTAACTCATAATTAACTTGAATTTTAGCTTTATTATTTTCAAGTTATGTAGCAATTTATATAATTTCTTATACTTATATTATATATATATAGTATTTTTTAATTTAATTATTTCATTATCAGTTCAACCGCAAGTCTAACTGGTTGGACCATGCGATTATGAATATCTAGCATTTCTAGTTTGACCTCCGGTCTAGTTATGAAAACATTAGTTTAAAAATTGACCAGTTATGTTACTTCTTTTAACAAGCTTTGGTTATTTAATTGTCCAGTGTCAAACCAATAACAAGTCTATTAGCATTATCATTCTGAAAAAAACCAATAAGTTAATTAATTGACAAATTGTGTTGTTACTTTTTTACAAGACTTGGAAAATGTCCAGAGGAAACATGGCAAAAAATCTTATTTTAGCATTCAACCTTGTTCACAAGATTCCTAATATTACTTGTTAAATCCCAAACAAGCCTTGTTTCTCACTAACATGACCTGTAAATTATTTAAGAAATAGTTTATCTAGTACAATGTTTTCAATACCACAAGACATGAAATGGTTTGATCCTTTTCCAAAAGGCTATATGCTAGTATTTCCACAACCAACAGTTCATTAACTATCAATAAAAACCCCTTCCATGTGTTATAGAACATGAACAGTACTTCTTCTATACTTGCAATCATGCATACACAAGCATAATTGTTATACAATCTAAGAAAGTAAAAAGAACCAAACAATCTAAAACAACATTAATATGATTCACTCCTATATCAATACATACACACGCCACACAATCTTTTCCACTAGTTGATCCATTGCATATAGACTTTAGTATTTGAAAGCTGTTGCATATGTTCGAAGCATTAACTTGTGTTGCTAATTGCCAACAGTATCCACCACTAGTGCTGCAATATGATCTTTTAATAACTCTGCATTTGTATACTTGTTGAAAAGTTTCCATACACCAACTCTACAATACTTGTGAAATTCACAACACATTGAAGCACAACTTTTGGAACAAATATTTCCTTCAAGTATTCTTCATTAATATCTTTCCACGCATCTTCTAATTCTTTTTGCAACAGTTCATAGGTCTCTAGCTCGGAAATCCCATGTTGATTCATCGAACATTCTATTATTGAGGCAACATGTAATCTTTTTTTCTCAAACTGCAAACCAAAACCAAAAACTCAATGCTTAGAAAAACACTTAGGGAATTTCTTCACAATGTTATGTTATCTAAAATTTGAAATATTAGTTACATCATACCTTGTGAGAACCCATGTCATTTATCACTCTAGTGATAATAGATGATGGTCTTACCATTTTGGGAACTTGGATAATCCAATCAAACACATCTTTGGTGGCCGAGTTCCTGAGGCCAAGTAGGCAAGATGTCATGAGCAAAGGATAACCACATGACACAATTCCATTTTCCATGTACTCTTCATATGTTGGGATGTAACCTTCGTTGCACCACTTGGCTTCAACCAGATAAGCTTTGCAAGTTGTTGAAACTATGAATATAATGAAGACATTATTAGCTAAGCTAAACCTACAAATTAAATTTATTGAACATTTTCAAAATGTAAAGCATATTGAAAGAAGATCCTACAGCTCATTTAACATATGGAACAAAGCATGATTTTTGAGCTTTAATAGTCAATAACTCCATCTCATTAAATAGGTCTAACGTAGCCTAAAATATCACTTTCATGCATTGTGTAAGGTGCTCTAGAGGACTAGCATCCCATCTGGGAATCAATTTGAAAATACAATATCAATTTTGTCTGCAATATATTTTTATAATATAAAAACTAAAACTACAAAATAGTAATTTTAAAATTATGCATATTCTAGATTGAATATACAGAATAAAAAAACAAGTGTGCCATATATATATATATATATATTCAGTGAATATCATTCTTAGAATTATTTAACTTGTCAATTGCTTGCGTGAATAGTTCAAGTTCTTCAATTGTGCCATATGCATCATATGTATCATCAATCACTGAAATTGTTGCAGCTAATTTGGTCGTAATTGTCCTTCCAAGCATATATTGAGGCTCAAAATATACACCTAATATCCAAAAATAGCCTTCAACAACTCGGTCCCTAGCATAAGGTACCTTCATCATAAAATCTAACATTTTCCACCACCTGTAATACAAATACAAGTTAAGCTTGTTCTTTTAGTATATGACTTCTTAGAGCAACTCATCAATAAATTGGTCTTACTCAGTGATATGTTTAGTTCCTTCTTGTGTAGTGCCTATACAACATTAAAGTCAACAATGGCTAATTCTAACAAAGGATCATTTTGAGAAGCCTCTAATGAATACATAGGAATGTAATATTTGGACTCCAATCTAGGTATGCCTCTACGAATAGAGTAGTTCAATGCATGATTTACTTTTCGTTCAAGAGTTGGGTTCAAGTTGCTTAGCCTTAATGTCAAATGATAAGTAGTAAAGTGTATAGCTTTGTCAAGAACATCTTCTCCTTGGATGGCAAAATGTGCAGCCTCGTATAAGCTCAACATTCCAATCACATCTTCAATCAATGACTTCTTAAAATCACCATTTTCATCTCTAAATTGATCAAATACATCTGCATAAATATATGCAGTCTCACTTTTAGAACACAAGAAGGCCAAATATATAGCATGTGGTTAAGAACTTCCATAAAATACATGTAGCACAACTAAACGTACCAGATGACACATGATAACCTTCTTGCCTAAGCAAGCGAAACCAGAGGGAAATGGTGTGAAGATCTTTGCCCTCAAAAGGAGGATGGTTCTCATGCATATTCTCTATTATCTCTCTAATCTCATTTTCAAAATGACATGACACACCTAGACGTTTAATATTGTCGATCAAGTTTAACTTCTCTGTAGGATCCTCAACTCGATTTAGTATCAACTTTCGAACTTGGTTCTTCAAATGTTGTAGTTGTTGTTGGATATCCAACTCTTCATTCTGCACCATTAAAATTAATGAGAGGTTTCTTTTCCCCAAAAGGAATGAAAGAGATAACTTCAAGATTTTGTTGTTCTATTTATAGCCAAAACTGATATTAAATTAAAATATTTATAATTTATATATCAATCTAACGTCAAACTAATCTCAACTTTCTCCACACATACTTAAAGGTTAAAACCATAAAAAAAGCATTCAAAGCACAAGAAATAAAAGGGTGTTGAAGAGCGTAATTACCAGGACAAGAGCAGGAGCAGAGGCGAACAAATTGTACTCCCAGATATTGGGACTAAAATTGGCGATGGGACGCCTTTTTTGAGAAGTGGGAGTCCAGGAAGACATTTTTGGTTTATAGCTTACAAAGTTGCTAGGGAATGCTTCTTGTTTAGCTTAGCTTTATATCATTGTGTGAATCGCTATTTATAGTGCTAGCATCAACTATAAATTAAAGTCACAAATTAACAAACTAAGGCCGCAAAATATATGATGCTGACATTCAAACAAATTGCTATATACGAAGACATTATAAATGGACCGATCGATCTCTATAAAGAAGGCTGTCTTCTGCCTCACGTAATGACGAACAGAAATCATTTTCTTTTTCCCTCGTTTTACCGTGTTGAAGTCGTGTGTAAATTGTGCCTATATATTAACTTTTATTTTACCATATATTTCTGTAAGAAAAACATAGAGAATTGTACTTTTTTGAAAAATTAAAAAAATACATAATCAATATGTGTGTGTATGTAATTTTTGTATAGTGTATATATATATATATATATATCATTGTTATGTCCTATGTATAGTCTTCAGGAGCCGATGATGAAACAAGGTTGCTTACGGTAACATCATCTGTAGTTCGTCACCAAAATATAGCTGCTGTAACAAGAGAATTAGTGTGAATTATTTGAGAAAGATTTAGTAAGAGATGGTAAGAGTATATTTCAATAATCTATTTGTAACTTGCATGATAGCGTAAACGAAGTAAAAGATAAAATGACATAATCTTATGAGTAAAGTAATGGTTGGGATAGATGGTACTATCAACACTAGTGTTTCTGCTTACAATTATTCACAATACGATCCATGAAAGAAAAAGAAAGTTCTTTTCCTCTGATATATATATATATATATCATAGTCGTTCTTATTTCTTGAATATAGCACCGGTGTGAGTTCATCAATCAGTCCTTTTCATGAAGTTAATTTCTTGTACCCCAAGGACGTCCTCGCTGGAACCTCTGCTTCCAATGATATATTCTTTATTTGACACAATAATTGCAATCAATTCTTTAGGAGGTATCTCTTAAAAACTTAACTAATTTTAAAGTTAGAGAATTCAAGTAAAAAATTATTTCGTATTATCTTTGGTCCCATAGATATTAGATTAATTAAAAATCATATTACTTAACCATTTTAGCGTATTTGTTTTCTATCAATGCATTCTACTTCATTCCATTTCTTTCTTATAGCCAAACAGGCCCTGTTAATAATTCCTCAAGATTCAATCGCATTGAAAAATTAGGAGTTTGAAGTAGATCTTGTGAATCACTTTAAACCAATGAACTTCATCTTTCAACTGGTCAACTGTTGATTGTCTCATGAAACAGCCCCACAATGTAGGGTTGATTGATCGGTTCAAAATTTGTGTGTATATTTTAAAATATATTTTTGGTAATATAGGTTCTATTTCAGGAAAATTTTTTTAAGACATATCTATATTTAAAGGTAAATTAAACTTAGTTCCAATGTGCAACTAATGGCTTGTTGTTCTAGCTTATAAAAATTACACTTAAGACGTATACACTACAATTTCAGAAATTAGGACCTAAAGCATAAAATTATTATGATATTCTAATATAAATATCTTGACACAGCAAGAGGATGATAGATTAACAACTGCCCCACCAGTAACATGAACTTGTCTTATGGAATCTGATGAGCTATACGCAAGGCACCTGTCAGGATGGAGACTTTCCCCAAAATTTAATTATTTTTGTTTTATTGGGGGCACAGATTTTAGTTGACAATAATATTGCATATATTGACTAAACACAAAAAAAAAAAAAGGTGTGATGCCTATGAACACCATATTGTGTATATTTTACTGTGAAGCAGTGAAGATAAAAATTAGGCGGTCGACAAGGTAGGATCTCATATTTTGTTTTTAAACAAATTTATATCATAAAGAGATTTAACTAGACCACAATGGCCTAACACGATCAATGCAGCGTATAATATGTTATTTATAGGTCATATACAGGATTAAAATTTTAACATTTGGTAGCTTTATGTACGAGATTATCGATGCTTGAAACTAAGATTTAAAAAAAATTATTTTTGGAAAAATATAATATGCCAAGTATTTTAGGTTTGCATCCTGCATTAGCTAGGATGACATCACATCTGTACCTATGGCAAAACGGATAACGTATTAGATTTAACTATGCTTTTAATGGTTGATGATCAAAAATTGTGTGTGTGCTAACTCAATTGTAAATCCATACATACTATCTAATCATACTTTTTATTGGTATTTAGTAATTTGGTTTATTTACATAATTAAATAAATAATTACATTAAAATGCCAATAAATTACAGAAAACATCCTATAGAAAATGTCCCAAAAATTATATTAAGTACCCTACAGATTAATACCAATTAAGTCATTTAAATTACAAAAAAATGTCAAGAGGCTAATGTTATTTCTTATCAATGTAAAATATCAAAATACTTTTTTAACAAATTACTTTGACTAACTAGTGGGTGATTATTGAACCAAAAAATTTTGTTAGGGACCTAATTATCATTAATTCAATATTTTAGGATCTAATTGTGTGAACAAATCAAGTTTACTTCTTCGAGTGTGTATCAGATGATCATATGTATCAACAATAGCCAAGGTAATTAATAGGAAATAATTTTCCAATAATTGTCCTTCAAATTATATATTGAGGCTCATAATATACATCAAATGGCCAAAAGTTGCATTCAATAACTCAGTCCCTAACATCAGCTTATTTTATGAAAAGAGAATTTTTTTTTGAAAAAAATATATTTCATGAGTTTTTATATTTGTATAAACTTTTAAAAATAATCAGAATCTAATTTTTTATTATTTTAAAAAGCTATTTTGAGTAGCTTCTAAAAATAATTTAAAGTGATAAATGAGAAAAAATGTTTTAAAAAAACGGATGTAAGGATATCAAGAAATTTTATAATAATTAAATAATAAATCATTTTCCTAAAATAAAAATTAAAGAAGATATCATAAAATTTTAAAAAAATAACTAATAATCACTTATTGTAACTAACTAATAATATCTATTTTTTATAAAATCTCCACAAAATAAATATCTTTTTATAAAACTTTAAATTATCTAAAAATTACTTATTTTCTAATTTTAAACAAAAGGGCACATAAATTGGTTTGATTAAGTACCAATAAAAAAACCCTCACTTGGATTATAAACATGAACAGTACTGCTTCTACTTACAATTATGCATGTTATACAATCTGAGGAAGTAAAAGGAGGCAAGCAATCTAAAACAACTATTCGCTCCTATATTAATATATACACACACCACACAAACTTTTCCCCTTGTTGATCCATCACATAGTATTTGAAAGCCATCGCAAATGTTCAAAGACATTAACTTTGTGTTGCCAATTGCGAACAGGATCCATGACTGGTGCTGCAATATGATCTTTTAACAGTTCTCCATGTTTATATTTGTCTGAAAAGTTTTCATATAGCAACTCTACTATAGTTGTGAAATTCATGACACATTGAAGTACAACCTTTGGAACAAATTTTGTCTTCAAGTATTCTTCATTAATATCTTTCCATGCAACTCCTAATTCTTTTTGTAATAGTTTAAAGGCTTCAAGCTCTGAAATCTCATGTTGATTGATCAAACATTCTACTGCAGAGGCAACATGTAATTTTCTTTTCTCAAACTACCAAACCAAAACCAAAAACTCAATGCTTATAAAAAAAATTCATTAATTTCTTCACAATGTTATGTTTAAAATTTGAAATATTAATTAATTATACCGTACCTTGTGAGAACCCAAGTCATCTATCACTTTAAGGATAATATATGATGCTCTGACCATTTTGGGAACTTGGAAAATCCAATCAAACACTTGTCAGAATCCATAAGTAATAATAAAGTTTTTTAAAGTGACATAAAACAACCATTCCTAATTACATGGCCTATTGTCCCAAAGAATTGACAACACAAGCATAGTAACATTTTTGCTTTTGGCAGTACTTTCCGTTGCAACAGTTTTGAAAGTGGTACCTGATGTATGAATAATATGAAAGCGGTAAAAATATCTTATGAGGCTTCTCACATATTTGAAAGACAATAACAAGAAAGAAGTGTTTGAGAAGTGGTTAAAAAAAACCAATATCTATCTCATAAGAAAAATAAAGATCCTCATAAAAAAACAGAGAGGAAACAATATCTATGAGGCTTCTCATATATTTGACATTAATGTATTGCAATTTTGAAGAGCGATAATTCAAATTAGTTCATATATCCGTGTCGGCAACGTATAGATGCCTTTACACGCCAAAACTTTTAGATGTGCATCTCAAAATAATCAAACTATTACATTTTAATTATATTTTAAATTTTCAATATGTATGCTATACTTCTAAGTTTCGAGTCAATATTTCATAGCCTAAGTTTCTTGTGCTTCCAAAAATAAATATTTTATTTATTTTCCAATATCATTTACTATTTAATTTAAAATATTTCGTAAAATAGCTTATTGATGTTTTTTAATTATATTCTGGTTTATTCTGTATGATATGGGAAAGCCAATATTTAAAGCAAAATAATTATATTTTCTTAGAAAATGAGTTTAAATTATAAGAAAATAAATATTTTATTTCTTAACTGTAAAAACGTATGAATGAAGACTTTTGGCATAAAAACCCTAAGTGAGAACAATTTTCAATTTTCTACCCAATAATAAATATTATATTTTGCTTGGTATTAATTATTATCAAATGAAAATATAAATATGCCCGATTGAATATTTATTGAATTGCAATTATATTTTTAGTGTGTTATATGAATTTATATGCTCTCTCTAGACCACAATAAACGGCATCTTTTTGAACCCTTGCATGGTTCAAAATATGGAATATTAGATAATTTTTATAATTATTTTTTCAACTATATCCCTACTTCATTTATTATTATTTTTAAAAAATGATGCATTAAAATTTTAATTATCATTATTAAGGTATTTATATAGGGTATTCAAAGACAGTATAATTGGGAAGATGTAATTTTTTTTTTTTAAGAAATGAAGGTTTCACCTTTTTTTTTTTAAGAATCATGAAATAAAGTAATT